GCGTGTTTTCAATGAGACGTAGGCCTAGATCTAGGCTAGCCTTAGCCTACACTTTGATGTAGAACCAACTCAGGCAATTCTAGAAGTAGAAGGTCACAAACGCACACACAAACTCCAAGCAAAAATTCACGTTATATCGGGGAACATAAATCGGGGGACGGGGGTCAGGAAAAGAAACACACACACACACACACACACAGCGACAGAGAGGCGAACGCACAACACCAAGCACTCGAGCTCAAAAAGCTTGATCTACCCACCAACGCAAAAGAGCTCCAATTTACTCGGTGGCAATTGACAAGAAGTCAATTTTTGTCAATTGCCACTGCGTCACTCGGTGGCAATTGACACTACCTTGTACTTTTTATTATTAGCTTCTAAATTCTAAGTCTTTATAATTTATTTTCTGTTAAAAATTACACGTTAAATGTGTAATTAGATAGAAGACAATTGGTCGCTTTTTAAAAGCACAATAGAGCTATCCCGAAAAATGCTGTTTTGAGAAAATCGAAGGTAAAATATTTGGACCTGTATTCAGTTTCTAAGACGAGGAGAGTTTTCTCATGCCCATCAGTGAAACCAAACTTCTTCTGTAGTTTGGGCACTCCTGTACAATTGCGGTCCCGTTTTGGGGATACTAGTTTTGACTGATCCCACTGACAACTGGTTCTAAACATAGCAGTGCCCACCGAGCGTGTTTTGTTCTGCCGATTTTTGGTCCCCGCCGCGGGGGTGTTTCGTGGGACGAACTAACACAAAGGACGTTGTCTTCAACTCGCTCTCACACCGCTTCTCGTGAATGGATATGAATGAAACTTGGCAGCCAATCAGAAAAGAGGTCAATCTCGTAGTGTATGCAGTTTGACAACATTGTACCCATCCTAAGCAGTCGAAAACGTTTGCGAAAGTGCTTGATGTGGTGCGCTTTGAAGATTTTTCGGAGCTGTGATTTGTCAAACTGACTGATACGTTGTACACCATTTTTCTTTATAACCTTAAAATTTCATGCTTCTCTATTTAGCGGTTTTGGCTATAATCTTTAAAAATGTGGTAGTAACTAATGGAAAAGCGGCATTGCCATTTGCGCCTGCTGGGTGAATGACCAGCGACTGGGAAATTTCCACTAAGTGACGTCATCAGCCATCGGTCGCCTCAGGCGCTACGAACGAGGCCCTGCTTATGTGAACCGGAAAGGGGGGGAAGGATACTAAATGGGGGCCTTGATAACTTGCATTTGTGTTGCATTTTAGTCACAATACGATAGAGGTAGTAATTTTTATTTGTTTAAATTGCGTGAGAGAAGAATAGAAACAGAAAAGCAAACATCTAAGAATTGGTATGACATTGTGTTTGCGTTATGAAAGCCTATTCCCCCCTCTTGGGAAAGCACACACTTGGACTCGTCCTGTTTGCTCTGTTTGGAAAAGTGAGGCATTAAGATTGTTTTTAAAGAGTATGGTACTTATTTAGTCCAGTCTGGGAAGATAGTCCCGTTTATTCATTGTTATCGTTCGTGCGTGCATGGGTGTGCTCGCGTGTGTGTTTGTGTGAGAGAGAGAAGGGGGGGGGGGGTAAATATCTGTACATTTATAGTATGAGTTGAAGCCTACACATGCGAAATATTGCCAGGACTTGTTAACTATAATAATGTTATCTAAAATAGGATAGATATTAAAAATCTGACAGCATGACTAGATGCTGCATTAAAAACTGTACTAGACTGCCAAGTTTCATTTACATACTCCAAGAAATCAGGCGAGCTATGACAAATATTGTCTCAAAACACACCGAAAACTGCCACATTTTTACCAATAAACGTCTTCATAACTCAAAAA